TTCCTTCCTTCCTTCCTTCCTTCCTTCCTTCCTTCCTTCCTTCCTTCTCTGTGTAACTGCCCTGGCTGTCCTGCCTGCAACATTTTCCACTATGGCTAATTCCCCACACAGACTCCTTTTGCATCAGGTGTTTGCTGAGAGGAGAAACAAGTGAGGCCAAATTCATGTACAAATTAAAAGCTTATCTGACTACCCTGTGCCTGTGACCTCCTTGTCTCAGCCCTGTCCCACACACTCCCACAACACCCTTCTGGGTGCTGTCGATGAGCCCAGTAGCACAGACTGGAAACTGAGGCAGGCCACTGAGCAACGTCTGGGTGGAGGCCTCAGCTCAGAGAACTTGTCACATACAGCATGGAATAACCAAGGATTAGTGGTTTGTCATCCTCAGCATTCAGGAGGATGACACATTCTAGCCCAGACTGGGCTGTAGAGCAAAGGAGCCATGTGGGGTAGGTCCCCTCCACAGGGCCTCCCCACCTCAGCTCGCAGGCCTGTCAGTCTGGGCCCCTGGCATCCCACCTGGGCTGAGACCTCTCAGCACTGGACTCCATGAGTACGCAGCAGGAACTTGATAGGCATGCCTGGTTGGCTTCCTGGTGGCATCTTTAATCCCAACACTCAGGAGGCAGAGGCAGGAGCATCTCTCTGAGTGACCGGCATGGGTCATCCCACCTAGTTTCTGGGGTGCTGGGGATGGAACTCAGGGCCTCCGGCATGCTGGGAGACTGTCCCTCCTCTGAGCTGTAGCCCCAGCCCACGTTTTTATATCGGAGACAGTGTCTTGCTCTGGAGCCCAGGCTAGGCCTAGACGTAGTCATCCTCCTGCCTCTGGCTTTTGGTGTGTGGGAATGACAGGCATATGAGGACATCAATGCCTATTTCCTTACTGTCTCTTTCACGTGCACAGGCTGTGGCTGCACCGTGATCCCTCTGGGTGGGGTCCTCCTTTGCCCAGGTGGGGCTTGATATCTTATCAGCTTGAGGCCCAAGGTTGAGGGCAGAAGCCTGTGCCTTGTCTGTGTTTATTGAGGTGTCTAGATGCTCTGCAGGCAGGTGGCTCTCCCATTGCATTGAGGGTCCCCCTTCTGGGAGCCTGGTGCCCCCCCCCCAAGCCTGGTGCTCACAGAGCTGCCAACCCTGCTGCGCTGACTTACCAAACCAAACACAAAGCTGCCAAGCTTGTCCCAGCCACCAAGCCTGACTGCCACACTTTGTTGTGTGCACGTGAAGGCGTGGATGCCACATCTATGTAGCCTGGCTTCTTGCAGAGGATGCTCAGGACCTGTCACCTGGGGCTGGCTGTCACTGGGGCTGCTGGTCTCCAGGAAGGGACAGTTTAGGTTAATATTAAACTAGCTGCAGACTCTGACCTCTGAGGCTGCCGGGGTCTGATGCCCTGCAGGCACGGGAGGCTGGGCCACAGGAGCCAGCTTCCCCACCCCGGCCCGCCCAACCGCCCTGTCTTAACCCCACCCGAGCTCTGCGCAGCTCACACCGCAGCTGAAGGTCGACCTGTATCCAGCCCGCTGGTCATGGACACCCTGGGCAGGCTGCTGCTGCTGGCTGCACTGCTCCTGACACCCGCTGAGGCCCAGCAGGGTAGGACTGGGGTGCCGAGGCCGCGCTGGGTGGGTATTTGGATCTGGGGTAGGGGCTCTGCAACGTCTCGTTTCCCATTAGGAGAAACTGAGTCAAGGAATGTGCAGGGAAAGAGGAAGCGTGGAGGGCACGGGTGGGGATGAGTACTCTCCAATGACCGCTCCTATCTGCTACCTTCTCTCCTGTCTCTCAACGCTGTCAGCTGAAGCCACTGCCCTGTTCCGGCTGGTCCTCTGAGCTCCTTCAAGGACCCTCTGAAAGCCTCCATCCCACTCCCTTAACTATGTTCTCTGAGCGCCTCACCCTCTAGGAGCCCAGCTTCTCTGGGAGGCCTGGGCCTTCTTCACAACCCCGCCCCATGAGCCCTGGCAGCTCCTGTTAGTGGACATTCTTCCCGAGTCCCGCCTCTTTACCCTTTTTCTAAGCCCCGCCCTGTAGGACCCGCCCCTTTCCATTAAAGCCCTCCCTCTCTCTCGCAGACCCCTCCTCTCCCCACAGACCCTTCTGTTTCCTCCAGCAGAACCCACTCCTCTGCAGGCTCCTCTTCTCCCTGTAGACCCTTCGTTCTTGTCTGACTTGTCCTGTCCTTCGCAGCCTCAGAGCGCCGCCTGAAGCCCTGGCTGGTGGGCCTGGCTGCCGTGGTGGGCTTCCTGTTTATCGTCTTCGTCCTCCTGCTGGTCAATCGTGTCTGGTGTTCCAAAGGCAGGTGAGGACCTGCCCCTGCCCCACCCAAGGCCTCCTGTGGCCTCCCTGCCCTCCGGTGCTCCCTCCCGGGGTCAGCCTGGAGGTCAGCTTGCTTCGCTGCCCTGTTGATCCCTTTTGATTCTTGGATTCATGATCTCAGTTGGGGATACTGAGGCAGAGAACAGCTCTTGTATCAGTCTTTCTTTCTATGTGTGCAGAGCAGCCGATGAAGAGGCTACATTCAGAATGGATCACATTATGAACGAGAACTCGAAGCCAAGGTACCCCTTGGGTGAATTACCCCCAGTCAGTCCTGGGAGGCCCAGCTTGGGAGAGGGGACAGTGCCTAGCAGAGGGTCTCTGTGCCGGAATCTCTGATGCAGATTCTGGATCTGGAAGAGGGATAGAGGTGGGAAGAGTTGGAGCAGGCAGCTGGAAGTACAGGGTCCTGAGGAAGGAAGTGCTGAGGAGGAGAGAACAG